TTTTCCAACTCAGGTTGAACACAGAAAGGGAAAGAAAAAAAAAGAAGAAGAATTTGGTGGCACACTTCACACCTGAACTGCTCAGACATGCTTGGAAAAGAGTGATCTTGACGGAGGCTGTGGTGTAGGAATTTGGTGACTGGTCCGGAGGGCTTCAAATGAAGCTTTTCTATTTAAAAATAGGAAAGTTCCCTAGCAGAAAAGTTAGGGGTACAGCTGAGAGAAATATTTTTCATCTTATGCCCAATATTGGCTGGAGATGGGTAGGTATAAACAAGTCAAACCAATCAGCCCAATGGCCGGAGCAGAGTTCTCATTTTTGGAGCTTTCCCACATCATATTTCCTTGCAAAACTGTATAGCTGTGGTTTGGTTTTCTTAGGGACGACACAGCTGCTTACATTTGGTATGACAGGTACATTTTCTAAACACTGATATCCAATCATCTTGTCATTAATCAGACTCCGGGAGTTCTCATCAGTACTAATGGGATTTTGGATGCCATCTGCCACTGCAGGGCAATTTTCTGAACCTAAATGTTAATAAAGAATGGTTCTTCCCACTGCAGAACTGAAAAACATAATCCTAAGAATCCCATGTCGAAAGAAAAAGAGAGGCTGAGGGTTGAACACTGACCTTACAGGCCATCAAAGGGCTCATAACAATCAAAGCTTGAGGAGGAATCCATACCTTTGCTTAGAAAGCATGGCAGGAAGATGGACGTCAGCTGAAGGGAACAAAGGACAAGATTCAACTATACGTAAACACAGTTATTCAACACAGTAATCATGTTCCTTTGGCCCCCTTCCTACTCCTTTAAATGTGAGCTACAAAGACCATTTAAATTTCACAGCAACTATACATACCACTTTAGAAGAGAAATGGAAAAAGGACACCAGGCTGTCCCTCAGCAGAGTGAAGGGGAACCTTAGGTAGTCAACTATAATGATCCAGGTTTACAGTAGGACATCAGTATTACCACTGCTCCACATAGTTTTGCAAGTTCAGAGTCTCTTTTCCACACCATGTTGAAAAAGTGAGAGAACTGGCACAGATGGTTCCTCCAGCCTCATTTTGAAGTGTCGTATCACACCTCATACTCCCCTCCTGAATCGCTACCTAAATATCCTCCAACGTGGAGATGCTCCCTGGATGTATGCTGTCAGCTTGTTGATTTGTCCCAGCTTGTACGCTATGCCAGGGTTATCTGCGCAATGTTGTCACAGCAGGCTGTCCAAGGTCTGCCCTGTGCCTTGACCTTAGGTCAAGAAAAGGAAATTTTTTCACCCCTTGATGGATGATGATGAAACCCAGGATTTGCTAGCAATAGTACCTTTTCTGGAAATTAACCATCAGTTGCAGCTAACGAGACTCCAACCATTTTGCAATTATAAATTCTCCAAGTCCAGATACAGTGAGCCACAGACAGGTCGATGAAAAGTCAGTGAAAAGACGGTATAATCATATTTTCTATGACACCAGTAAGTCAAAGTTAGGGAGACCCACAATCTCATAGCTGACATTTGTGAAGCTGCTCAGGCAGATGTTTACTGGGAGAGTTGCTCTTCCACGGATGGAGGATGCAGAACACAAGGGTGATTACCCCAGAGAACTTCTTCAGACATTTCAGCTCTCCTGGGACTTATATATAAAGAAAGAAAGTACTCACAGAGTTTGATGTGTGCTCAAGATTCCTTGGAGGTTTCCCTGTCTAACTCCTCATTCAGTCTTTCATGAGTCTGAACAACATATCCTGTATGGAGTGTTGTTGAGGCAGGATTTGGAAAGGTTTCTGTGAGGAAGAACCTCGCCTCATCCTCTCCTGTACAATCACGGAGCCAAGAATGAGGACTACAGTGTAAGGGAGGATGGGGCAGGAGTGTATTTTCATGTTCAGGTTATGTTTTTGGTTTGTTTTCCTAGGAGGACGTCCATCTCTGGAAACTGGAAGGCAAACACAGGTTCCGCGATGCTAGAACAGATTGCAATGACAGAGAGGTAAGGAAGAGGGTTGCAAGACAGTATTAGCTATTCTTGGGTTAGAAGGGAGGAATTGTATTTCAGACTTCAGTTAATTGAGAGAACTGGTAAGTGAGGTCTCCCGGGAGGCTGGATAAAGAAGTTTAAAAGACCGAGTGTTTCCTTAAAAAAATACTAAGGGCACAAAGGCAAACTGTCCTATTTTGGAGAACAGACTGGAAGTACAGCTAGAGACCAACATTGCTAAATCATTAGATCTTTAGTGAATGTAGCCACAGGAAACGAGACCGGCATACTAAGGTCAAGCACATGAGCACAAACATGTAGGGATAAAATCAGAAAGGTCACAGCACAAAACAAGAAGTAACAAGAAGTTATTCTAAGTACATTACTAATGAGAGGCAGACACAGAAAAGTGTTTTTCTTCTGCTCAACAGAGGGAAAAAAACTATCAGCTGAAGTGTTGAAAGTGCTTTTTTGCATTAGTCTCCCAAAAGTGGACAGTGTTTTAGCTAAGGTCTTCTCACTGCTGAACAGAGCAGAAGGAATTGCCTCATGCATCTTACAGACTAAAATTTGCAGATGGTACTTCCATACGTTGAAATCACTGTGCTACTTGCTAATATTGCCACTGCATGACATTGTTGACTCATGGTAACTTACGCTTAGCTGTAACTCCCAAACCGTATTCTGCAGAACTGCTGTCAAGTCACTTGTTCTCCATCCTATTTCTTTAAGTAGATTATTCATAGATGTATAGAATCCATAGATTATCTGTAGGCACTCATCCCTAGTGAATCTAAGATTTTTTCAGATTATACCTCCAATTTGTCAGGATCATGTTTAATTCTGACTTTGTCCAGGTTTGGGCACCACATTTGAAGAAAGATAGCAAAGATCTGGAGAGAGCCCAAAGGACAATAAAGGGAATGCTCAGAGGAGAAAACATAATCAGCCTATGAGAAAAGAACGCAACAATTGCTTATGTTGTTTTCTTCCTTTTTCAGTTAGCAGACTACTGATATTTTTCCAGTAGAGGTGTAGATTCATGCATAATGAATCTACGCCTGCCGTGCAGAGGTTCGCTTTCCTTCATTAGCTGTCACAGAGCTGGACAAAGTTGTCCACAAGCTGAATACCATTTCATCCTGAAGATGAAAAAACTTAAAGGGCACAAGCTCTTCTAATATGTAAAAGGCTGCTAATAGAGCATTACTCACTCTTTATATTACTAGTACAATACTGTAAGAAATAATGGGCTTAAATTAGAGCAGAAAAGGTTCATTTGAACATTTCTTGACAATATAATGATCAACTTGTGGAAGTAATCAATCAATGATTACTTCCTAACAGTAAGGATAGCATAGCAAAGAAATGGATTGCCTGGCGGAGATGGGGAATCTCTGTCCTCTTTCAGACCAGATTACAGAAATGTCTCCTATTTGGGGTATCAGAGTTGTGCAGGTGATCATCTAAGGTCCCTTCTGCACCTTTAATTCTGTGAAACAGGCAAACCAAGCCAAGCCCCAAATCAGATGTTGAAGGTGACTCTGCAAGACCCTAATAGGACTGTGGGAACTGGATATTATTATGCATCCTGGTTGTTTATAACACAGCTGAAGCTAGAGACACGAAGGGTAGACATTCCCTTATTGCAGTGTTGTAGGACTAAAACCCAGATTCCTGCCAGCCTGCTGTGCTGCATTTTGAAGGGTCATTTTATAGATGTAGACCACAATTCACCACTCTAGCGTTATCCAGCCACAAATGCAACAAATCCCGTAGAAATCTGTGAGTCATCAGTGCATGCAACAAAGCAGGAGTGTAGTAGGATGAGTAGGAGCAACCTGAAGTACCTACTGTACTGAACAGTAGCCCAAAGGATCGACATGTTCAGACAAAACTAGGCAAAATGGCAGTAAATCCTCTGCAAATGCTACCCCTGATGCATATGCATAAATACGCTCTTCTGTCCCATAGCACTGCTATTCCACCTCAGCAGCCCTGTTGCCTCCCAGTGCTCACCTAGGACCAGCAACATCGAAGACATGTATCTATTGGGGTCTCTGGCAGGGGCAACAATTCCCTGAGCCTGGCTGCTGTACCCAGACACCTAGAGATGTCCCTCAGGAAGAGAGGTGGTTCCCATGATGGTGCCCCTGGGTGTGGGGCCTCAGCAGTGCAGGAGGGGGGCTGGCAGTGCCTCCTGCCTGGCTCATGGGGTCCATAGTTCTCCTCCTCCTTATGCTACTGACTCCTCCTCAGGTGCTCTCTTCCTCAGGGGGCTGGGGTGAACATGCTTGGTCTCCTCATTAGGGATAAGAGAGCACTGGTAGTCATATAAGCCATACTCTTGCTTCTTCCCGCAGACATTGTGTTCGCACAAGTTGATCATTATATTGTCAAGCTATGGGGACTCTGGCTGGCTTCAAGGACATAAACTTGTCCTTTGGCCAGAACAGCTCTTTTCCCAGTCCCTGTAGGGTCTGCAAAATGTCAGTGTTTTCATGAGACTGTGGCCTTCCCTCCCCTCCCCGCATCTTGTCATAGTCCTGCTTACAGATCTGCTGTTCTGAGATTATTATTTTTATTGAAATGGTCGTGACTGCGGCACAGCTGCACAGGAAATAAAACCAGGACGCCTCATTCCCTCCTCATTTCCACAGCGGGGGGATGCAGTCCCCCCATAACATGCCTCTTGTCATTCTCTCTCCTCCTCTGACACCAGGATAGCTAAGAGGGCACCCGCCAGGCCTGGCCCCTGTTCATACCAGTTCATGTTCCCTTTCTGGGACGGCTAGAGAAAAGGGATACAGCCTGTAGCTCTCCCTCTGACAAAGCAGTGCCTGGTCTGTGTGATGGGACTGCCTGGCTAGGAGCAACACCCAGGGGATAGAAGGGAGGCAGGAGACTGTAAAAGGATCAAATTGAAAGAGTAAATTGTAAAAAGCAGGAGCCGCTGGGTTACAGATCAGGGAGGGGATGGCTACTCCCTGCTAAATTCTGCACTCACTTTCCGATCCTATTCCAGCCCCAACGTGCAGGACATCTTATCAGGAAAAAGCTGCCTGCATAATGGAGGGCTTTCAGGCAAAGCCAATCGAATGCCAAGGGACCAACACTACTGGGAGATTAAATGAGCTAAATATTTATAGCTTGGCTAAATGACAACCAACTGGAGATCTGATATAAATACCAAGGAGGGAAAGAAACATTTTAAGGTGGCTTTGAGCGCAGGATTGAAACAATCTGAAATGAAGGGAAACTTTAGGCAAGATTTTTTTTTTTGCTCCGTCTCCTGAGCAAGAGAGGGAGGCAATGACCCAGCAAAGCATATGAAGTATGCCTTGTGATAAAAAGGGCTCCAGAACTGATTTGTGCTCCTATGGGCAGCGGGATGGGTGGCTGTATTTCGTGGACTCCGATGACAGCTAATCCTAGGCCATGCCTCTGTGGTTTCTGCAGGTACAGACTCTGGGCAGACGCCTGCGCGGAAATGTTTGGAGGTCTTGACATCTGCGCTGTCAAAGCTGTCCACAGCAAAGACGGAAAAGACTATATCATTGAGGTGAGAGCATGGGGAACCTGAATGCAAGTCTCCTTTGGGAAGTGTATCTGCAAGCACACTCCCCCGGAGTTCACGTGCACCAATGTGCTCGCTTACCCCTCTGTGCATGGTCCAGCAGTCACTGCTCCTTGGTGCCCACCTGTTTCTTCCAAGCTGTGGCCCACTGTTATGCAAGAAACTGATTTAGAGTCCCAGCTAAACTGGCAGATATGCAGCAAGGTGTCAGGGTTGAAGTGCCTTCATTTCTCAATGTGGACTATGAAAGGGAACGAAGAGCCACACACCACTTGGCCACCTCAGCTTTCCAGCTGATAAATCCCCACAGTGAACAACCTTACTGGCATGGGACAGATGTGAAGCTGCCTTCTTATTGAGCACACAACAGCCTGCAAGTGTTGCTGGCAGCATCCAAAGCTTGGTGTGTCTCAGTGCACCAGTGCCCCAGTACCATCCTTCCTAGGCCTAGCACTTGCAAAGCCAGGGCATCTCTCATAGCTGCTAGTAGGGATCAACAGCGTCATGAATAAACATGCCCATATTCAGCCCAACCTGAATTCAGGTGCCAGATGATGCTAGCATATTAGTCATGTTAACATCCTCCCATTACCCACACAGAGGTCCAGCAGGTGATTCAGTCTATTAAAAATCTCAGTTTCTCTCTGAAAGAACCTGTCTTTCTCCAATCACTTTAAAGGGAACCTCAGTAACAAAAATCCTAGCTGCATCTAATTTAAAAGAGTAAAATAAATGGTGAGAGTGGCAAAAAGGTCCATAGGTAGCAGGAACAATTTAATTAAAAAAATAGGTGTATTTCCTAAAACCTTTTGCCCGAACAGCATTCACTACAATAACAGACCAGCAAGACAAAGCACCACAGAGTTACTATGGGCAGTGTGGACTACAAGCTTTTGTGTTCAGAGTTGGACAGACTGTGGCTCTAAGAGCTGAAGTTCAACATGCTCCTTGCCAGGCCAGGAGGCAGACGTGGGAGTAGGGTAGATAGCACGCTCAGGTCATCCTAACAGGGCAGAGAAGGAAAAGCTGGCCAGAAAATCAAAGTGGAAACTTAAGAGACGCTCTGGGGGAGAGAAAATCTGGCAAGTAAGCAAGTGCCTCTGTCACTATGTGACTCAAGGAGGCACAGCATCTGACCTGCTGTAAACTCCACGAACACAGGCCAGCCGAGGAAGATGAGCAGAGCCAGCCTATGGCTTCATGCAGGGGTGCTGACACACTGGAAAGCTATGTGTGGGAGAGCAGTCCCACCCGCTGAGGGTTGGGATGTTGATGAGAACCACATGAGCCCTCCAGCGAC